AGCTGGCGCAACAGAGGAGTAGTATGCTCCCAGTACCCCGCTCCTGTTAGTAATTTGGCTGCCACTCGTTGGACTAATTGCAGCTTCTGGGCAGTCTTCAGAGGCAACCCCACGTAGAGAGCGTTGCAGTAGTCTATACAGGATTTGGAACTATAGCCTGTTTGTGGAGGCCAGAGACTATCTGTGTAAGTGGACACCTCCGCCAAAAACACATATACACACATTTTCATTTTAATTATGTTTATTTATTTATTTAAAACATTTATATTTTGCCCTTCTTACCCCGAAGGGGACTCAGGATGGAGCACAACATACAAACTACAAACATTCAATGTCAGGACATGAATTCATTATATGCATACATAAACATTAAAAACATTTGTCTCAATATTGTGTGTATAGATATAGACTACATTGTGTTGTTACTAACTTATTTACTTTATTTCTACCCCACTCTCTTTCCCTCTGAGGGGGACTCAGAGCGGCTTCCAAATGTGGGCAAAATTTAATGTCACAATTATACAGGAATCAAATAATGCATATCACAATTAACCAGTTAAAATCAAACGGACATATAAATACAAATTAAAAGAATTAAAAACCTGTAATACATAGCACCAATCCCAAAGTCTAGGTTGCTTCTTCTGTTGGTTCCTTGAGAGTCTATTGCACTTTAATTATACTACTTGCCAAAAGCCTGCTTCCAAAGCCAGGATTTTACTTTAAAAAAAACTAGGAAGGAGGAGGTTGATCTGATATCACTGAGGAGGGAGTTCCATAGATGAGGGGCCACAGCTGAGAAGGTCCTGTCTCTCGTCCCTACCAACTGCACCTGTAAAGAAGGCGGGACCGAGAGCAGGGCCTCCCCTGACAATCTGAATCTCCAAGGTGGTTCATAGGGGGAGATACGTTTGGACAGCCAAGTTGAGCCATTTCCAACCTTTTTTTGACCAGGGACCACTTGATCAGAGACCACTTTGACCAGGGACCACTCTCCAACATTTGTACCTAAAAGGGTTACGAATCGGTTTTTGGTCAACGTTAGATTTGGTTTGGGTATTTGGGGTGCTGATTCAGAAAATATCATTGGATAGACCACATCAGCTCTAGTTTCTGATACAAAACATATGCCATCCAGTAGTCGTCATCTGCTCGCCCACAGAAAACCGGATTTAATAATCTAGAGTGGATGTGGTCTATCCAATGCAATTTTCTGAATCAGCACACCAAATAACCCCAGGAACAGGCCTAAAAATGAAGACACCAAGGCACCCCTGTTTGCAGCGCTACATGGAACGTCTCCGCTCAGGGGGAGGGAGGAGGAGAAGCAGCAGTCAGGAGGCTTGTTGTTGCATCTTTCTTGGGCAATAAGCCTCTCCCCTCTCGACAACCCTATTGCCTTGGCACTATAAGAGGGTTTCGCAAGCTCAGTTTCTCTCATTTCAATGGTGTTGTAATGGTGAGGCCATGGACCATATTTTAGTTATTGCAGACCACTGGTGGTCCATAGACCACAGGTTGGGAACCACTGGTTTAGGGCTTTATATGCTAAAACCAGCACTTTGAATTGTGCCCAGTAGCAAACCTGCAGCCAGTGGATCTGACACAGCAGGGGGGTTGCATGCTCCCTGTACGCAGCTCCGATGAGCAACCTGGCTGCCGCCCGTTGGACCACTTGGATCTTTCAAACAGTCTTTAAAGGCAGCCCCAAATAGAGCGTGTTGCAGTAATCTCATTGAGATGTAACAAGAGCATGGACTGCTGTGGCCAAGTCTGACTTCCCAAGGTACAGGTGCAACTGGTGCACAATCTTTAATTGTGCGAGAGCCCTCCCAGTCAGTGCCAACAGCTGGGCTTCCAGAGTCAGTGCCAAGTCCAGGAGAACCCCCAAACTGTAGACCTGCATTCTTATGGGGAGTGTGACCCCTTCTGGCACAGGTTGCCACTTAATAATAATAATAATAGTAGTAGTAGTAGTAGTAGTAGTAATAATAGTAATAATAATAATAACAACAACAACAACAACAACAACAAAATTTTATTTCTAACCCGTTCTCTTTCCCTGGAGGAACTCAGTGCGGTTTATATTTACAAAAGGCAAATATTTGATGCTGTATACAATCATAAAAACAGAAGCAAATATACATAAAAACATAACATAAAATTATAAATATAGATCATAATTAAAAGGACATATAAAATAAGTTCTATGGGAGAGATGATGGTTGGGCTTCCTAAAGTGCAGTAAGCAAGTTCTGTTCAGATGGAATCTAGAGATAGAACATATAAATATGAAAGTGACCCTACAGCAGTGTTTCTCAACCTTCCTAATGCCGCAACCCCTTAATACAGTTCCTCATGTTGTGGTGACCCCCAACCATAACATTATTTTCGTTGCTACTTCATAACTGGAATTTTGCTACTGTTATGAATCGTGATATGCAGAATGTATTTACGTGCACTGGACCAAATTTGGCACAAATACCCAATACGCTCAAATTTGAATACTGGTGGGGAGGGGGGATTGATCTTGTCATTTGGGAGTTGTGGTTGCTGGGATTTATAGTTAACCCACAATCAAAGAGCATCCTGAACTCCAACGATGAAATTGAACCAAACTTGGGGAGGGTTCGATGGGCATTGACCTTGAGTTTTGGAGTTGTAGTTCACCTGCATCCAGAGAGCAATGTGGACTCAAACAATGATGGCTGTGGACCAAACTTAGCACGAATACTCTGTGGTGTTTGGGGAAAGTAGACCTTGACATTAGGGAGTTGTAGTTGCTGGGATTTATATTTCACCTACAGCCAAAGAGCATTCTGAACCCCATCAACGATAGAATTGGGCCAAACTTCCCACATGGAATCTCCATGCCTTGAAAGGACTTGCTCGCGCAAGCCTCCCTTCAGCCTCGCACTCTCTTCCCTGCCCCCACATGTGCACCATGCTGCCATGCGCTGAGCATACCTGCTCTCCCCTTCCCTGCTTGGAGTCAAAGAAACAGCCTTCTCCTTGGTTGAGAGGCTGGCCAATCACAACAGAGGAGGACTTTTGGTGGGAGGATTTGCCATCTCTTTCCACAAAGGAAGAGAAGGATAGGCGGAGAGATCATCAGCCTTCTCTGCCAAAGGGGTTCCTAAGACCACCAGAAATATATGTTTTCTGATGGTCTTTAATGACCCCTCTGAAACCCCCTCGTGACCCCCCAGGGGTCCTGACCCCCAGGTTGAGAAATGCTGCCCAACAGCGTGTTATCCCTTAAGTAAGAAAGCATTCAGGAGAGGGTGTTTTTTCTTCTTCAATATTCATCTCTTCTATAGGGTATGGAGCATAGATGAGTTTTAAGATATTTTTAAAAGGAGGGGAGGGAAGGGGCTGTTCTCGGTTCACGAGGGAGGGCGTTCCAGAGACTGGAGCAACTACAGAGAAGGCCCTCTCTCTTGTGCCCACCAGCCATGTTTGGGATGGAGGTGGGATTGAGAGGACGGCCCCCTCAGATGATTGCAGGGGCCTAATGGGATTGTAAGTCAGGATGTGGGTTCTAAAATAGTCTGGGCCCGAACCGTTTAGGGCTTTATAGGTAATAACCAGCACTTTGTATTTTGCCCAGAAACAGACCGGCAGTCAGTGGAGCTACTATAACAGAGGAGTTGTTTGCTCCCTGAACAGCACTCTAGTTAGCAACGTGGCTACCAATCTTTGGACTAATTAAAGCTTCCAAACTATGTTCAAAGGCAGCCCCATGTAGAGGGCGTTGCAGTAGTCCAATCGGGATGTAACATGGTCTACCATGGCCAGGTTCTGCGTCTCAAGGTTATGGACACAGGTGGCGCACAAGTTTTAATTGCGCAAAAGTGCTCCTGCCCATCGTCCACACCTGGGGTTCCAAGGTCAGCTATGAGTTCAGGCACACCTCCAGACTGCAAACCTGTGTCTTCGGGGAGTGTGACCCCGTCCAGCAGGGGCTGAAACTCCACACCCTGAGCTGTCTTACGATTGACCAGGAGGACCTCTGTCTTGTGGTTTAGCTTGTTGGCCCCCATCCAGTCCATCACTGATGACAGACACCTGATTTGGATCAGAACAGCATTCTTGGCTTTAGGTGGAAAGAAGTAATAGAGTTGGGTGTCTGCATAAATTTGACACCAAACTCCAACACTCCGGATGATCTCTCCTAGCGGCTAGGGGGAGGATGGACCACGGATGATGGGATTTACAGTACCCTCACCCACTTCCAGAGAACACTGCGACCCCCACAAATGACGGACCTGGACCAAACTTGGCACACAAACTCCTCAGGACCAAGAGAACACACGGGAGATATTTGGGCAAAATTGATCTTGATTTATGGCAGTTATAGTTCACCTTCATCCAGGAAATTGTGACCTCCACCGACAATGGCCCAGGACCAAACTTGGCACAAAGAAGCCCCAAGACCAACTGAACATACTGGAGGGGCTTGAGGGAAATTGACCTTCATTTTGAAGAGTTGTAGTTCATGCACATCAAGAGAGCACTGAACCCAACCGACGACAGATCAGGACCAAACTTGGCACAGAGCCCCAACATGGCCAACTGTGCATACTGGCAGGGTTTGGGGGTGATTGCCCTGGGAATCCGGGAGTTGTAGTCACCCTTAACCAGAGAGCACTGAATCCAACCAACGAATGATGTGAACCAAACTTGGCACACAGACCGAACATGCCCATCTGTTAATACTGGCTTGGTTTTGGGGTGATTACCCTGGGAATCTGGGAGTTATAGTTCACTCTTGTACAGATATCATTGAACCCAGCTGATGTTGGATCTGGACCACAATTGGCACACAGACCCAACATGGTCAACTTTGAATGATGGCAGGGTTTGAATAGTGGCTGGAAACCAATATTACCAAGCTTTGCAAAATAAACAATGCCTTTCTCAAATAACCCGGTCACTGCCAGGTTTCCAAGCTAGTATTATATAAAATGTATTCTTTTTCATTGTATTTTTTATTTCAGAAGGATTATGAGTGAAAATGATGTTATTTGGGCATTATAGGACCCCAGAAATGGCTGCACCTCAACACAGCTATATTTTGGTAAGCCTTTTAAAATCTTTTATTTTCTATCTAAACACATATAATAAAAGGGAAAATGTGTATGTGTGTATGTGGCAGAGGTGATCACATACACAGACAGCCTCCCACCTCCACAAACAGCTATAACCTGTCCTTGTGTAATTGATTCTCAATACTTACAGCATGCTTGGGTCTAATTCTTACATTTACTTACATTCACTTAAGACAATGGTTCTCAGCCTGTGGGTCCCCAGATATTTTGGCATTCAACTCCCAGGAATACTAACAGCTGGTAAACTGGCTGGCATTTTTGGGAGTTGTAGACCAAAACACCTGGGGACCCACAGGTTGAGAACCACTGACTTAAGAAATGACATACTTAAAAATTCCAACTTAAGCCACAGTGCTGAAGAGCCAGCAAAAGCCCTTCCTCCAAGGACATTTCAGGTTACAGCGGGCGCCATGAACATGTAGCCCAAACCCTGCCAATGTCCTCCCCAAACACCATACTGCCCACCACCCAAGTGAAGACTTTCATTTGGGGACAATTTCATCATAGTTCTTTATCTTTCCATTGCTGTGGAATTTGCATGACCCTGCCCACTGCCTCTCCCTTGACTCTTTCCTACTCTTTCCTATGGCACATAGCAAACAGGAATTTATCAGCAACTGAACAAAATGTTTGGGGAGAATTGACCTTTATTTATAGGACTTTGGTTCACCTACATCCAGAGAGAACTGTGAACCCAACCAACGATGGATCTGGACCAATCTTGCCACGGATTATGGGATTTGCAGTACTTTCGCTCACTTCCTGAGACCACTGCGATCCCATGAATAACTGACCTGGACCAAACTTGCCACACAGACGTCCCATGAACCACTTTACGTCTTGGTGCAGTTTTGGAAGGATAGACCACAGTTGATGGGATTTGCAGTAACGTCATCCACATCCAGAGTACTGATGATGGACCTGAACCAAACTTGCCACATAGATGTACTTTACATGATGTACTTTACATCCTGATGAGTTTTGGGAGAAGATGGGACCAGGGACGATGGGAATTGCAGTATCTTCACTCACTTCCAGAAACCACTGCGACCTGCATGAATAATGTACCTGGACCAAATTTGACACAAAGACTCTGTCCTGGTTAGGATTGGAGGAAGATGGACCACAGACAATGGGATTTGCAGTTCCTTCACCCATTTCCACATACCACTGCAATCCTCATGAATGACAGGCCTGGACCAAATTTGAGACACAAAACCTCTATGACCAACAGAACATACTAGAGGCGTTTGTGGGGGGACTGACCTACTCACGTGGAAGTTGTTAGTTCACCCTGCACCCAGAGCACTCTGAACCCCACCAGTAACGGATCTGGGCCAAACATGACAGATAGAATCCGAGTGACCAACACAACATACTGGAGGTGTTTGGTGAGGAGGGCGGGGGCGACCTACCTGTGTGGGAGTTGTAGTTCATCCTGCATCCAGAGCACCATGAACTCCACCACTGATGGATCTGGACCAAACTTCAAACACAGACCCCTGGTGACCAACACAACATACTGGAGGTGTTTTTGTGGGGACTGACTTATCCGCGTGGGAGTAGTAATTCACCCTGCATCCAGAGCACTCTGAACCCCACCAATGACGGATCTGGACAAAACTTGGCACACAGAACCCTGGTGACCAACAGAACATACTGTAAGAGTTTGGGGAAGGACTAACATACCCATGTGGGAGTTGTAGTTCAGCGTGCACGCAAAGAGCATTCCGAACCCCCTAATGGCGGATCTGGAACACACGTGGCACACAGAACCCTGATAGCCAACAGAACATACAGGAAAGGTTGGGGAGGGAATGACCCACCCGTGTGGGAGTTGTAGTTCACCCTGCATCCGGAGCACTCTGAGCCCCATCAGTAACGGATCTGGACCAAACACAGACCCAACGTGCCCAACTGTGAATACAGGAAGAGTTTGGGGGTGATTGCCCTGGGAATCTGCATCTGTGACCCTCACCGACAATGGACCGGGACCAAACTTGGCACAGAGAAGCTCCGTGACCAACTGAATATACTGCAGGGGGTTGTGGGAATTGACTTTGGTTTTGGGAGTTGTAGATAACTGCATCCAGAGAGCACTGGAATCAGGACCAAACTTGGCACACAGATGCAACATAGCCAACTGTGCATACAGGCCTGGTTTTTGGGGGGGGGGGGGATTGACACATGATTTCGGAATTGTAGTTCACTCACATTGTTATGTATTTTCTAATGGGAGCATTCATAAAAACCCCAATGAAAACCGATTTTTTTCCTAATAACTTACTTAGGCGATTCCTCACAGCCCAAGGATGATGGTCCTCCAAGCATCGTGTCTTGGCGGTGGGTCCGTAGGTGGCTGTGGAGCCCTATTCTTGATCCGCATGTTCTCCCACAGTGAGGACATTGGTTTCCAGGTGGAAGGTGGTCCTGGTCAGGGTTGGCTTGATGCCCCTTCCTCTTGGCAGGTTTCTCCCTTTCACCCTCCATTCGTGCCTCTTTAAATTCTGCAGCACTGCTGGTCACAGCTAACCAGTTAGAGGGTCAGGGCTTCCCAGTTCTCTGTGTCTATGCCACAGTTTTTAAGGTTGGCTTTAAGCCCATCTTTAAATCTCTTTTCCTGTCCACCAACATTACGTTTCCTCTTATTGAGTTGGGAGTATAGTAACTACTTTGGGAGATGGTGATCAGGCATTCAGACAACGTAGCCAGTCCATTGGAGTTAATGGTGTAGGAGTATTGCTTCAGTGCTAGTGATATTTGCTTTTTCCAGCACACTGAAATTTGTCCGCCTGTCTTAAGAGATTTGCAGGATTTTTCAGAGGCAATGCTGATGGAATCGTTCGAGAAGTTGAGTGTGACGTCTGTAGACAGTCCATGTTTCACAGACATATAGCCAGGTTGGGAGGACAATAGCTTTATAAATAAGCACATTGGTATCTCTACGAATGTCCCGATCCTCAAACACTCTCTGCTTCATTCATAAAAATGCTGCACTCGCAGAGCTCAGGCTGTGTTGTATTTCAGTGTCAGTGTTGACTTTTGTGGAGAGGTGGCTGCCAAGTAGCGGACATGGTCAACATTTTCTAATGTTACACCATTAACCTGTATTTCTGGCATTACAGAGGGATTGGCTGGTGACTGCTGGAAGAGCACTTTGGTTTTCTTGATGTTTAGTGAGAGGTCATGCTTCTTGTATGCTTCTGCAAAGGTTTTAAGAGTGACTTGTAGGTCTTTTTCTGAATGTGCACAGACCACATTATCATCAGCATATTGGAGTTCTATAACATGTTGTTGTGACCTTGGTTTTGGCTTTCAGTCTGCTGAGGTTAAATAGCTTGCCATCTGTCCGATAGATGATTTCCATTTTGGTGGGAAACTTCCCATCAATAAGTACAATTGTCATAGCAATGAAGATGGAAAATCAGGTTGGGGCAATAACACATCTATGTTTGACACCTGATTCCATCTTAAATGGGTCACTTTGGGATTCACTGCTGTCCAAGACTGATGTCATCGTGGAGGAGCCGCAGGATGTTCACAAATTTGTCAGGGCACCCGATTTTTTGGAGGATGGCCCAGAGAGCGCTGCGATTCACTGTGTCAAATGCCTTTGCAAGGTCAACAAATGACATGTACAGAGGTTGATTTTGTTCCCTGCATTTTTCTTGGAGCTGTTGTGCAGTGAAGATCACGTCCACTGTTCCGCTGGAGGGCCGGAAGCTCTTCTGGGATTCTGGGAGGGGTGTCTTCTGAGACAGGTAGAATGTGGTTTCCAAGGATTTTCCCAGCCGAGGTTAGAAGGGAGAGACCTTGATAGTTTCCACTGTTTGTTCTTTCCCCTTTTTTGAAAAGGATGATGATGGTGGCGTCCTTGAAGTCTGCTGGGATTTTCTTGGTCACCCACACTTTTTCTATGAGCTGGTGGAGTTGTGTCAGCTCAGGTCCTCCCTCTTTAAAGACTTCAGTAGGGATCCCATCAGGTCCACTGGCTTTGTTTTGTTTTTTTTTGTTGGCTGATGACATTGCTGAGTTCTTCCAAACTAGGCAGTGCTGCAAGCTCATCCTTGGTTTGTTGTTGCAGGATTTGCGAGAGAACCTCTTTGGCCATGTTGGAGCTGTGATTAAGGAGGTTTTTGGTAGTGCAAAATTCCCAGGAGGATGATTTTGTCCTCGTTAGGTATTTCCAACTGACAGTGAAAATTTTCCTTGAGGACTTCATTAGCATATAGTGTTGGTGCATAGGCACTTATGATGGTTGCCTGTTGGTTTTTGGCAAGGTTAATTCGGAGGGTTGAGAGTTGTTTGTTAATGCCAATGGGTGCTTCGGTCAGGTCCTTCACCAGGTCGTTTCTGATAGCAAAGCCAACTCTGTGTGTTCTTCGTTCTTCTTCAGGCAGTCCGTTCCAGAAGAAGTTGTAGCCTCTTTTTTATTCCTTCAACTGTCCTTCTCCTGCTCTCTGGGTCTCCTGAAGTGCTGCTTTGTCAATGTTAAAGTATCTCAACTCCCTTGCAATAATAGCAGTCCTGTCTTCAGAGCGTTCACTGTCAGTGTTGTCCAACAGTATCCGTGCGTTCCATGTTCCAAAGTTCATTTTTCTTTTTTGGCCACAGGGTGGTGACCCCTCTGGACGTGGCAGTCCAGTCAGGGGTAAGAGAGGCAGACTATGTTTAGGGCACCTTTTCTAGCCCCCTCCTTGTGTGGGGTGAGCAAAGTGGATCCTAAAAAGGGCTGCTCAGTCATGGATACAGCTGCCAGACTACTCAGCTGCCTCGGACCTTGAGGTAGAACAACTGAATCCATATCCACTGCCCATGTGCCGGTCTGTAACTAGGGGCTTCCAGATTTCCCAATCCTGCCCATTGCCACTTGCTGATCATAGAATCATAGAATCAAAGAGTTGGAAGAGACCTCATGGGCCATCCAGTCCAACCCCCTGCCAAGAAGCAGGAATGTTGCATTCAAATCACCCCTGACAGATGGCCATCCAGCCTCTGTTTAAAAGTTTCCAAAGAAGGAGCCTCCACCACACTCTGGGACAGAGAGTTCCACTGCTGAACGGCTCTCACAGTCAGGAAGTTCTTCCTAATGTTCAGATGGAATCTCCTCTCCGCGTCCTAGTCTCCAGGGAAGCAGAAAACAAGCTTGCTCCCTCCTCCCTGTGGCTGAACGCCATGGGACTTTTGTTGATATGTTGGGTTTTTTTTGAAGACGCCTGTGTATGAGTTTTTTTAATGTGTGGAGGTTGGCCGATCAACACACAGTCTTCACAAAGTGAGGTCCCATTCAGTGACATGGTTAACACGACGATGGTGGCTTCTCAATCTGTTGCAGCCTTCTTCTGCCTTCACAGCTATTGTAGCATGTACCATGTTATCCTCCACCTGATCCGCAGTAGAGGTCTTGATTGTGCTTGATTTGGAACCTCCCCTGCAGCCCCTCCTGGGAGTGCCCGACTCCAGTGGTTACGCCCGCAGGTTCATTAGAACACGCAAGCCCCCTCACCACAACAAGGTGACAATCCATTGAGGGGTTTTTCTAATAAATAGTGTTACTAATTAACTAAATGGTATTACTTAACACCCCAAAACAAACAATCACAGGGTACCCAAGCTAGTATGTATGTGTGTGTGTATATAAAGGAAAGAATGGAAATACATTAAAATTAAGACAAAGCTATTAGAATTTATGTATTAAAGTTAATTAAAATAAATGTATTAAAGCTTATGGATCAAAGTAAATTAAAACAAGTATATTAAAACAAATTAAAGTATTATAGTTTATGTATCAAAGTGAATTAAAATAAATGTATTAAAATTATTTAAAACAAATGTTTTAAAATGTGTTGAAATTAATGTATCGAAGTGTTAAAATGAATTAAAATGTATGTATCAAAGTGGATTAAAATAAATATATTAAAATAAATAAAAGTAAATGTATTAAAATGACTTTAAAAATAAAGAGTAAATGTATTAAATTCAAATAAATATATTGAAGTGAATTAAAATGAATGTATTGAAATGAAAAAAATAAATGCATTAATGTGGATTAAAATAAATGGATTAAAATGTATGTATCATTTATTAGATTTTGATTTATTAGAATTTAAAATAAATATTAAAGTGAATTAAAAACCACATTATCAATAAACTGTTGTTATTTTTATTTTATTTTATTCTACCAAAAAATCAACATGAATTAATTTTTAATTAATGGCTAATTCATTAAATAGGCCGGTTTGAGGGCTGACCACCTGAACAAGCCTTTTGCCCAGCGATGCCTCGATTTACAGACCGTCATTCAGGAGTTCCCTGCCAAAGTAAGGAAATAAAAATATATGATTTTCTTTATTTGTTGTACAGTATTTATATATATGCATAGATATATACATACAAAGTTATTTTATAATATATTCAAAATCCTTCAATATCTTATATTATTTAGGTTACACACACTCTCTCTATAATTTTAATATACATAAATGTGTAAATTGTTTTATATTTTATGTGAGTTGTGTTCTATATATTGTATCATACTCATGAGATTAGACTGCATATATATGTGTGTGTGTGTGATATTTTCCCTTTTTATTTATTAAATAACATAATTAATAAATATACTTGTATTTATTTGCATTTCTTCAATTAGTATTTCTTCAATTGTTATTTATTAATTTGCAATTCAGTTCAATTTGTATTTATTTAGTAAATTTTAAATGTTTTATATTTATTCAATTTTATTTTTGAATGTCTTAATAATTCATAATGCACATATTTTTGTCAAATCCAAGATTTTATTATATTAAATCAAGATTTAATGGATTACATAGAGGTTCTGTTTTTTACTAAATTAATATTTATTTTATTAAGTTGATATTTTATTTGTATTAAATAGATACTTTATTTGTAATTAAATTAATAGCTTATGTTTTGATAAAACACATCAGTGACTTCTCTTTCTTCAGGAGCTGCACACCATTTTCCCCTGGTTGGTGGAGAGTATTTTTGGGAGCCTGGATGGGGCCCTTGTGGGCTGGAACCTGCGCACATTGCAAGGAAGGACCAACCCCACAGATTACAACATCGCCCTCGAATTCCTCGATCCCGGGTTAAAAAACATTGACAATCTTGGATATTTAAAGCATTAAGAGATTGCATGTCCAAATGTCAAATAATCTTCATTTTTAAGCATTTCCTGAAGAGATTTCCCCCCCTAAAAATAGAAAAATACCCCAGTTTTTAAGCATTGCTGCGTGTTTTCCAGGCTGTCTGGCCATTTTCCAGAAGCATTCTCCCCTGACGTTTTGCCCACATCTATGGCAGACAACCTCAGAGGTTGTGAGGTCTGTTAGAAACTAGGCAAGTGAGTTTTATGTATCTGTGGAATAATGTCCAGGGTGGGAGAAAGAACACTTGCCTGTTTGAGACAGGTGTGAATGTTGCAATTGGCCTCCTTAGCATTGAATGCTCTGCTATGGCTGACTGATGAACCAACCTGGACACAGCATATTATTTGAGAACACAGAAGTGCTGGACCATTCTTAACAGCTACCATATCAGATTACACAGAGAAGCAATTGCAATCCACAAACATGTGGACAATTTCAAGAGAATGGAGGAAACCATGGAAATGAACAAAATCTGGCTCCCAATATTTAAAAAATCTAAAATCAGGACAATAAATAAAGAGCAGCACTTAGAAAACAGAGGAATTCCAGAGAAGAAACAATCAGGGCCAGGTTACACCTTCCAACAAAGGATTCCCTCCGGGAGGAAGCAGCCAGGCTTTTGAGCTGCAAGGCCATTAAATGCTAATCAAGGTGGCCAATTGCAACATTCACACTTGCCTCCAACAGACAAGAGTTCTGTCTCCCACCCTGGACATTATTCCACAAGTGTGTGTGTGTGTGTGTACACACACACACACATACACCCCCCATATATTCCGGCATATAAGACGACTGGGCATATAAGACGACCTCCAACTTTCCCAGTTAAAATATAGAGTTTGGGATATACTCGCCGTGTAAAACTACCCCTCTTCCAACGCACACCAAATAAAAAATTTAAAAGCATCAGATTTGATTTCAATATGGTAATCTTCCTATTACTGTACCTCCTTCTCTGCTTCTCAGATCTCGCACATGCGCACCTGCACCACTTCACTGCAGTCTTCAGGAGCGAGATCTGAGAGGCAGAGGAGGAGGTATGGTAATAGGATACAAGGGTGGGCCAAACAGATAAAAGAGTTGTATTTTTCTGAGCCCAGAGCCACTCTATCTCTTTTTTCCATACCCCGGGCGCCCTGGACGCCTGCAGCTTGCTCCGCCCTTCACTTACACCTTCTCGGTGAGGTGCCCCTTCACCTCACCATCGGGACCGCATTAAGTCCACGAATCCTGATGAATGGATTTTCTTCTACCCTACTTGTACAGCATCACCCTTAATGCTTTCATACAGTCGCTGCATACGGCAGGGACGCGGCCATGGCCATTTTTGAGCTCCCCCACAATATGCAGCAACCACAGATTCTCCAATCCAAATTGGAAGTTTCAGCACCCGCTCTATAAGACGACTCCTGGAGTATAAGACCATTCCCACATATAAGACGACTCCCATGCATAAGGCTACTCCAGCGTATAAGACGACTCCAGCGTATAAGACGACCCCTGACTTTTGAGAAGATTTTCTTGGGTTAAAAAGTAGTCTTACACGCCATAATATACGGTGTGTGTGTGTGTATATATATATATATATATATATATATATATATATATATATATCTCACACATATACACACACCACTTGCCTAGTTTCCAGCAGACCTCACAACTTCTGAGGATGCCTGCCATAGATGTGGGCGAAATGTCAGGACAAAATGTTTCTCGAACATGGCCAGGCAGCCCGGAAAACTCACAGCAACCCAGCAATTCCAGCCATGAAAATGAAATCCTTCGACAACAAATTTCCCGAAGTGATTGCGTGTCCAAATGTTAAGTAATCTCAATTTTAAAGCATTTCCTGAAGAGATTTTCCATTAAAAAAAATTAAAAACCTGATTTGTAAAGCATTTTCTGAAGAGATTTTATCTAAAAAAAATATAAAAAATCTCCTAATTTTTTAAACATTTTGGTAAAAATAGAAAACGACCCTAATTTTAAAGCATTTCCAGAAGAGATTTTGTATAACATTTTTAGAAACATTTTCCAAAGAACTTTTATATATAAAAATAAAAATCCTAATAGTTAAAAGGATTTACTGAAGAGAATTTATCTTAATGTTTATATGTTGACAGCATCACATGATGCTTATGTGAGGCTGCCCTGAGTCCCCCTTTGGGGGGAGAAGGGCAGGGTAGAAATGCATGTAATAAATAAATAAATAATAAATAAAGAAGCAATTAGAAAAAATCCTAATTTTAAAGCTTTTCCTAAAGAGACTGTGTAAAAAATAGAAAAATGCCCTGATTTTAAAGCATTTCCTGAAGGGATTTTGTATAACACTCTTGGAAGCATTTTCCAAAGAGATTTTGTGTAAATTAATTTTTTAAAATCTTAATATTTATGTAAAAATATTTAAATAATAATTATAAAGCATTTTTGTTGTTATTTTTTTGTCAAAAAATTTAAGAAATCCAATTTTTTATGTCGAAAAATTAAAAGTTATTAATTTTAAAGCATTTTCTGGGGCGATTTTATTTCTCGCAAAATTAAGAAATCCTAATATTTAACACAAAAATTTAAAAATTCTTATTATTCAAATGGGAAATTTGAATATTTAATGTTACATAATGAAATTTAATGTCATACATATTTTTCAATCATATTTGTTCTTCCGTTTCCTCAGAGGCCCAATGATGGAGCTGGTCTACAAACTCCAATCAGAGGAATATCGATACGACTTTCCCGTCTCTTACCTTCCGGCAAGTTCTCTGTATTTTATATTTATGCCTTTAACTAATCAAAATAATTACTATATTAATCCTAATTTCTCGAAATATCTTTTAGGCCCCAGTGAAAGCATCGATCCAAGACCGGATACTTCCGGAATGTTCTTTGTATCACAATAAGGTCCAGTTTCCTCAATCTGGAGGAGGCCTAGGAGTGAGTTTGGCCCTCAGTATCCTTTGAATTAATGCCATTAAAATACCATATTTATAATATTAATACTATTTATATTATTAAAAGTATGTCTAATATTAATAAATAGATTGGGTGCCCAGCAGTGCCCAGGTTATTTGAAAAAGGCATTGTTTGTTTTGGGGTGTTAGGTAATATAAGTTAGTTAATTAGTAACACAATTTATTAGAAAAAAGCCAGTCTTTGATGTAGTTGTTTATGAATGCTCCCATTAGAAAATGCATAACGATGTGGGTGAATTACAATTCCCAGAATCGTGGGTCAATCCTCCGCAAATCAGGCCTTTATGCACAGTTGGCCATGTTGGGTGTGGGTGCCAAGTTTGGTCCAGATCTGTCATCGGCTGGGTTCAGTGCTCTCTGGATAAGGTGAATGACAACTCCCATATACCAAGGGCAGTCACCCCCAAATCCTGCCAGCATTTACAGTTGGCCATGTTGGGTCTGTGTGCCAAGTGTGGTCCAGATCCGTCATTTATTTATTTATTTATTTTGTGTACTTCTACCCCGCCCTTCTCAACCCCCGAGGGGGGACTCATTAGCTGGCTGCAGTATGCAGGTGAATTGTTGTTGTTCATTCGTTCAGTCGTCTCCGACTCTTCGTGACCTCATGGACCAGCCCACGCCAGAGCTCCCTGTCGGCCGTCACCACCCCCAGCTCCTTCAAGGTCAGTCCAGTCACTTCAAGGATGCCATCCATCCATCTTGCCCTTGGTTGGCCCCTCTTCCTTTTACCTTCCACTTTCTCCAGCATCATTGTCTTCTCTAGGCTTTGCTGTCTCCTCATGATGTGGCCAAAGTACTTTAACTTTGTCTCTACTATCCTTCCCTCCAATGAGCAGGTGGGCTTTATTTCCTGGAGGATGGACTGGTTGGATCTTCTTGCAGTCCAAGGCACTCTCAGAACTTTCCTCCAACACCACAGTTCAAAAGCATCTATCTTCCTTCGCTCAGCCTTCCCTAAGGTCCAGCTCTCACATCCGTAGGTTACTACAGGGAATACCATGGCTTTGACTAGGCGGATCTTTGTTGCCAGTGTGATGTCTCTACTCTTTACTATTTTATCGAGATTGGACATTGCTCTCCTCCCAAGAAGTAAGCGTCTTCTGATTTCCTGGCCACAGTCTGCATCTGCAGTAATCTTTGTACCTAGAAATACAAAGTCTGTCACGGCCTCCACATTTTCTCCCTCTATTTTCCAGTTGTCAATCATTCTTGTTGTCATAATCTTGGTTTTTTTGACGTTTAGCTGCAACGCAGCTTTTGCGCTTTCTTCTTTCACCTTGATTAGAAGGCTCCTCAGCTCCTCCTCGCTTTCGGCCATCAGAGTGGTGTCATCTGCATATCTGAGGTTGTTAATGTTTCTTCCAGCAATTTTCACCCCAGCCTTACATTCGTCAAGCCCGCACATCGCATGATGTGTTCTGCATACAAGTTTGAATAGGTTGGGTGAGAGGATACAACCCTGCCGTATGCATTTCCCAATCTTGAACCAGTCTGTTGTTCCGTGGTCAGTTCTTACTGTACAGATTCCTCAGGAGAGAGACAAGGTGACTTGGGATCCCCATACATACCACCAAGACTTGCCACAATTTATTATGATCCACACAGTCAAAGGCTTTAGGTCAATAAAACAGAAATAGATGTTTTTCTGAAACTCCCTGCCTTTCTCCATTATCCAGCGGATATTGGCAATCTGGTCTCTCGTTCCTCTGCCTTTTCTAAACCCAGCTTGAACGTCTGGCAACTCTCGCTCCATGTATTGCTGGAGTCTTCCTTGCAGGATCTTGAGCATTACCTTACTGGCATGAGAAATAAGGGCCACTGTACGGAAGTTTGAGCAGTCTTTCGCATTTCCCTTTTTTGGTATGGGGATATAAGTTGATTTTTTCCAGTCTGATGGCTATTCTTGTGTTTTCCATATTTGCTGGCATATGGCATGCATCACCTTGACAGCATCATCTTTCAAGATTTTAAACAGTTCAGCTGGGATCCCGTCGTCTCCTGCTGCCTTGTTGTTAGCAATGCTTCTTAAGGCCCATTCAACCTCACTCCTCAGGATGTCTGGTTCTAATTCATTCACCACACCGTCAAAACTATCCTCGATATTATTATCCTTCCTATACAGATCTTCTGTATAGTCTTGCCACCTTCTCTTGATCTCTTCAGCTTCTGTTAGGTCCCTGCTATCTTTGTTTCTTATCATACCAATTTTTGCCTGAAATTTACCTCCAATGTTTCTAATTTTCTGGAAGAGGTCTCTTGTCCTTCCTATTCTGTTGTCTTCTTCCACTTCCATGCATTGCTTATTTAAAAATAGCTCCTTATCTCTTCTGGCTAACCTCTGGAATTGCGCATTTAACTGGGCATATCTCCCCTTATCACTGTTTCCTTTTGCTTTCCTCCTTTCTTGGGCTACTTCCAGTGTCTCAGCAGACAACCATTTTGCCTTCTTGGTTTTCTTTTTCTTTGGGACGTACTTTGTTGCCGCCTCCTGAACAATGTCACGGACTTCTGTCCATAGTTCTTCTGGGACTCTGTTTACTAAATCTAGTCCTTCAATTACTAAATTTACTAAATCTAGTCCTTGAATTACATCTCCCAAAATCCAGGTCAGTTCCCCCAAATCCCTGCAGTATGTTCAGTTGGTCATGGGGCTTCTTGTGTCAAGTTTGGTCCCAGTCCATTTTCAGTGGGGGCCACAGTTTCTCCCAGATTCCGAGGACAGTGATCCCCAAACTCTTCCTGCATTCACAGTTGGGCATGTTGGGTGTGTGGAGCAAGTTAGGTCTAGATCCATTATTGATGGGATTCAGAGTGCTCTGTATGCAGGGTGAACTACAACTCCCATGCAGGTGGGTTGGTCCCCCACAAACACTTACAGTATATTCTGTTGGTCACCAGGGTTCTGTGTGCCAGGTTTGGTCCAGATCCGTTATTGATGGGGTTCATTGTGCTCTGTGTGCAGGGAGAACTACAATTCCCACGCAGTTGGGTCAGTTCCCCAATCTCCTCCAATATGTTCTGTTGGTCATGGGAGTTTTGTGTCCCAAGTTTGGTCCAGGCCTGTCATTCATGGGGGTCGCAGTTTTCTGTGGAAGTGGGTGAAGGTACTGCAAATCCCATTGTCTGTGTTCCATCCTTCCCCAATCCTCACCAGGATATAAAGTGCATCATAGGAAGTCTGTGTGCCAAATTTGGTCCAGGTGCACAAATTGTGGGGGTCGTAGTGATTTCTGGAAGTGAAGATACTGCAAATCCCATCGTCCCTGGTCCATCCTCCCCAACCCTCACCAGGACATATAGTGGTTCATCGGGGGGGGGGGGGGGGGGGGGGGGGAGGGTGTCGGTATGCTAAGTCCTGATCCGTCATTCGTGGGGGTCACAGTGATCTTTGGAAGTAAGTGAAAGTATTGCAAATTCCGAACTGCGAAGTACCAAGGGAACACTGTACATATTTAAAGCACAATTAAATATCACAAATATTGATATTTGTGATATAATTAATGTCAATATTTGTACTATTTAAAATATTTATAGGTATCTTCATGTGTAAAACAATATTAGTTATGCTGATATATATTATTATATTATATATCATATATTAATCTTAATATAAATAATAAAGACAAGTATTTCAAATATTAGAAGTTATTGTTATTCATGATATAATTAATGTCAATATTTGTGGAATTTGAAATACTTCTTTATTATGTGTGTAGTATTGGTATTACTGATATATATATATAATATTAATATATTTTATTTTAGATATTAAAACATACACATATTGTATATAATACGCACACACACATATATGTATAAGATTACATAATTATATGTTAATTATTATTATAAATTATCTATTTTAAATATATTACAGTATTTTTTCCTGTTTAATCCTTGACGATTTCCTCTCCCGATCCGTATGAGTATTATATGTTCTACTTCGCCATTAGCTTGATTACGCAGAAGGTAAATACCATTCCTTGGGTGTTTCTAGATTTTACTGTTTTGACAGGAGAAGCTTCTGGAAGCCATTTTGGATTTTCCTCCCTTTCTAGAATATTCACCCCTCATACCACATCAGCATGTCGAACAGTGCCTACTTTGTCCTGGTGGATCGATACCTGAAGTGGTTCCTTCCCACTGAAGGAAGTGTCATCCCACCCCGATCCTCTGACCCCGGAGGCCCCGCCCCCTCTCCCGCCCCACGGTGAGTGCCTTTCGGGCAAAATGGGCCTTTTCTGAGGGGAGATCCTCCTCCTTTGGCCTTTTCTAAGAGAATAATGGTCTCCTTGGGTCTTTTCTGAGGAAAAAGAGGTCTCTTCTGAGTGGAAACCCGATTTCTTTGGCCTTTTCAAAGAGAATAATGGCCTCTAAGGGAACACCCGCCTCCTTTGGTGTTTTCTGAGGGAAAAACTGCCTCCTTTGGCCTTTTCTGAGGGAAAAGAGGCTTCTTCTGAGTGTAATCCTGCCTTCTTTGGCCTTTTCTGTGGGAAACATGGCCTCCTTTGGCTTCTTTGGACTTATTTTATGGTGCGAATGAGCATGTTCCGGGCCCTATTTCCGACGCAGGTCTCCCGTAATGCCCTTCACGTCGTATGGGATGCACCCCACCAGCCTCCTGAAGAGACACATTGCACACCAGACCTCTGCCAACGCAGATCCAGCCTCCCAAGAGATATGGCGCTCTGAGACCTTGCTCCAGGTGATTAGTAGGCCTCATTGAATAGTAGGCCAAAATCCTTGTCAAACTATTTATTTATTTATTTATTTATTTATTTGTTGCATTTGTTGACCGCCGCTCTCAGCCCTGGGGCGACTCGCGGCGGTGTACAACATTTAAAAACCGTTTACAATAGAACAATACAAAAAACAACATATCAAAATACACAGTAATCTAAATTACACTAAATCATCCGCTCCATTCCAACATCGAATCGTAACCAATCTCATAATCCATTTCGTTCCAGTTGTCATTACCAATTAGTATAACACTCAGTTAAATGCCTTCTCGAATAGCCAGGTCTTTAAGCTCTTACGGAAGGACATAAGGGAGGGCGCCTGTCTGATGTCAACAGGGAGAGCGTTCCACAGCCGGGGGGCCACCACCGAGAAGGCCCTCTCTCTCGTCCCCGCCAGACGTGCCTGTGAGGCAGGCAGGATCAAGAGAAGGGCCTCCCCGGACGATCTCAAGGCCCTCGTGGGCTCATAGGCCGAGATGCGGTCCGAAAGGTATTTTGGGCCGGAACCGTTTAGGGCTTTGTAGGATAACACCAGCACCTTAAATTGGGCCCGGTAGCAAATCGGCAGCCAGTGGAGCTGGGACAGCAAAGGCGTTGTGTGCTCCCTGCGACCCGCTCCTGTTAGTAACATGGCTGCCGCGCGCTGGACTAGCCAAACTCCCCAAAAGATCTATAATCTGTGTGTGTGTATGTGTATATATATATACACACACACAAAGAGTGGGTCAAAAATAGTGCCTCCATCGCTCTAACATTTTTTTCCTTCACAGCCAATGGACTATACGCATGATATGATAGAGATCTCCTTACTCTACTGATATCATCTGTTCTTTTTCCAATTGACTGATTAGAACCATGAATCTGAAGCTAAAAGAATCATCATTGAATTTCTGTCCAAAGAAGGTTGTGCACCTAGAGAAATCCAAAATTGCTTGAAGAATAGTTATGATTTGGCCCCTTCTGACTTTTACCTATTTGGACCTCTGAAAGGCAACCAATATGGTTTCAGATTTAATTACTTGAATGACGTTAAAACAGCTTTAAAATTATGGGCCACGAAGCAAAACCCTGAATTTTTCCAAAATGGTTTTGATGTCTGGGTTAAACCATGGCGGAACAGAATGGTAGATTTGCATAGAGGACAGTTCAACTTCTGCTGTTATAGGTTCATTCATAACGTCTTTATGATGCAGGAGGCAACATTTTTTGATCCACCATCATGTTGGTGTACACACACACACATTTATTTGTCTCTGTCTCTCTCAGGTCTTTGTGGAAATGTGGCTCCATCATTACCCTCTAGATATGTATCAGAAAATTCAGTCTCCTCACATCAAGGTAATAATGAAATATACTGTTATTGTTGTTATCATTAGTATTATATTATTATTTATTATAATTATTAAATATTGTACTATTGTTATATTATATATTTTTTTATTTTCATTCTCATTCCTATTAGTATCATTACTGTTATATTAGCATTAGCATTGTATTATCAGAATTATTCACATTGTCTGTATTATTATCATATTTTATTATCATCATTATCAGCATTATTATCCTTTTTATTATATTTTAGTATTATCCTTCACATTGTTTGCTGTCAGTATTATTACTATTATCATCATTATTATATTTGTATTATTATTACTATTATTATTATCATTCACATGAACAAACAAATAAAAAGGGAGGAAATAAAGATAAAGTAGAGAGAAGAAAGGCTCCTATTTGTGTCTTTGTTTGTCATTTATTGTCAAATTTAGCATCATCTTTTTATTTGTGTTATACTTTTCCCCGTCTTCTTTCACTTGAGTATATTTTTATGTCTCCCCCCCCCTTTTTTCCCTCCGTTTCCCCCTTTTTGTTCATCCTTCCTCTGTTTTCAGCTGGAAAACCTCAATTTCCGCCTCCCTTCTTCTTCTCCTCCTTCGTCATCCTTCGCTTTTCCCATCCAGTCCAGCTATCGCTCGTTCTATGCATATCAAGTATTTATTTCTCATTTTTATTTCTCAATTATTACATTTATTATTGTATTATTATTTTCCCTTACCTTTTTATCAGTTATTTCACCCTGTTATGTATTATTATTTTATTAATAATTATTGCATTATCACAATGTTTCATTTAGTATTATTATATGTATTATTTTATTTTGTAGTTATTTCATTTATTATTACTACATTGAGTATGAACACTATTACTACATTTATTATTACTATTGCATTTAGTATTATTTCATTTTGTAATATGTTTACATTTAGTATTATTACTACATTTCTTATTTCATTTTTATCATTTAGTAGTAGTATTTTATTCAATCTTATTTCATTCATTTTTTCATGCATTATTATCTCATTTTGGTTTTTTTAATATATTATTTCATTCATTCATTATTCTTCTTCTTATTATTATTACTATTTTCCCTGTTTAATTCATTACCTTATGGACAAAATATAATAATAATAATAATAATAATAATAATAATAATAATAATAATAATAATAATAATAATAATAACAACAAAATGGGAGGGGGATGAGCCCCTTCTCTACCTTCTCTTCTTTCTCCTCCTTCCTTTCTTTCTTCCTTCATTTCTTCCCTCCCTTCCTCTCTTTCCTTCCTTTATTTCATTTCTCTTGACGTTTAAGGAGTCCTTCAAGCCCTCAGAGGAGCAGGTCCTGGTGATCCGTCTCCTGGTGAAGCACCTCCATGCTTTCAGCAACAGCAGCCTCCGGGCCGAAGCCACTGCCTCCCCCTCTGGACATTCCCACTCCCCTGGCCCTTTGGAGGAGTTCAAGAGGTCAAGTAATTTGCATAATTTACACATTCATTGCCTTTTTATTGGGTAAAAAAGACCATTTCTGAGGTAAAAATTGCCTTCTTTGGCCTTTTCTGAGGGAAAAGAGGCCTCTTCTGAGGGAAAACCTGCCTCCTTTGGTTTTTCTGAGGGAAAACCTTTGGCCTTTTCTGATGGAAAAGAAGCCTTTTCTGAGAGAAGACCTGCTTCCTTTAGCCTTTTCTAAGGGAAAAGAGGCCTCTTCTGAGGTAAAAGTGGTTTCCTTTTAGCCTTTTCCAAGGAAAAGGAGCCCTCTTTTGAGAGGAAACCTGCCTCCTTTGGGCCTTTTCTGAGGAAAAGGAGGACTCTTCTGAGAGGAAACCTGCCTCTTTTGGCCTTTTCTGAGGGCAAAGAGGAGTTTTCTGAGTTGTAACCTGTCTCCTTTGGTCTTTTCTGAGGCAAAAATGGCCTCCTTTGACCTTTTCTGATCTTTTGGCCTTTTCTGAGGGAAAACCCACCTCTTTTGGCCTTTTCTGAGGGAAAACTTGCCTCCTTTGACCTTTTCTGATGAAAAGAGTCCTCTTCTGAGGGAAAATAGCCTTTTCTGAGGCAAACATTGCCTCCTTTGGCCTTTTCTGAGAAAAAAAGAGGGCTCTTCTGAGGGGAAGCCTGCCTCCTTTTGCTTTTTCTGAGGGAAAAGCTTCCTCTCGCTATTTTGATGGAAAATGTGCCTTTTTTGGCCTTATCCGAGGGATAACTTGCCGCCTTTGGCCTTTTCTGAGGGAAATTTTTCCTCTTTTGACTTTTTCCCTCTGAGGGAAAAGATACTTTTTCTGATGGAAATGTATGTATGTATGTATTACAGGATAGTGATCCCTCGCTTCCTGCAGCAGAAGCTCTATGTCTTCCTCCGTCACTGCTTTGGCCACTGGCCTCTGGACGCCTCTTTCAGGGCTGTAAGTAGTCCTCTTTGTTTGCTGTAGAGGCCCAACTGGTCGTAGTGAGGCCTGTTTCCTTGGCAACTGATGTTCTCTTTCTATCTTTCTTTGTGTCTCTCTTTTTCCTTCAAAAAAGGTGCTGGAGATGTGGCTGAGCTACTTGCAACCCTGGAGATACGCCCCAGAAAGGGCCATTTTGGGAGCGGAGCAGGGCCCACGAATCGTGTCTGAAAAATGGTGAATCTCCTCTAAATGGCATCCTTCTCTTCCCTTAAATGTCTTTCTCCTATTGCCTTCTTTCTCTTCAAAATGGCTTCTCTGAATTTTTTTTATTATTATTATTATTATTATTATTATTATTATTTCTGTGCATCTTAATTAAAATTTTCTTCTGCTTGTTATTATAATATTTTATTATATATTATTACTATATATGGCATCCTTTTATCTCCTTCTCTCTCTTTAAAATGGTTTCCTCTATCCTTCTCAGAATGGTTTCCTTTTCTTTTCAAAAGGGCCTCCTTCTACCTCTCTCCTCTGAATGTCTTCCTTCTCTCCTCAGAATACCACCCTCTCTTTTTTCTCTCTCTCCTCTCTCTCTCTCCTCCAAATGGCTCCCTTCTCTTCCGGCAGGGCCCCCTTTGTCCAGGAAAACCTACTGATGTTCACAGAACTCTTTGTGGCCTTCTTGACCCGCACCCTCCGGACCGACCTGGTCAGCCCCAAGAACGCCCTGATGCTCTTCCGGGCTACCAAAGTCTTCGCCCAGCCCTCCTTGGCCCCCATCATTCAGAAAGGTCGGTCACCGTGGCTACTAAGGACCTCCCCCTGGTCTACTTACTCCCTTCTCTGGGTCTAATAGAACTATATCTGTCTCCCTCTGCAGCAGAGCAGCTCTTCCTGGAGATGGACCTGGCTGGCAATGCTGCCTCTAGCCCTGCCTCACTTGGAGCTGGCTCTGCCTCCTTGCTCCGTCCCCAGCCCCGCCTCTTCCTCTCTCTCCGGGGAGGCTCCTCCCTCACAGACTCTACCTCCTCCTTCAAGGTCAAGAACCGCCTCTATGGCCTTCAAGGGCAGGAGGCCCATTACAGGCCATTGTTTGGGCCAGAGGTCCGGGGAATGGTGAGCGGTCCAGGGATCAAGGGAGGCATGTAAGGGGTCAAGGGAAGTCTATGGCTGTCTGAATGGGTTAAGGGAGGCCTTTCAGGGGTCAAGGGAAGCCTTTGGCTATCTTAATGGGTTAAGGGAACTTTTCACTGCTCCCATGAAGCCTTTTGGAAGCTTTTGAAAGGCCAGGTGGTCAAGGGAAGCGTTTAAGGGGTCAAGGGACAACTGGAATGGGTCAAGCAAGGCCTTCTTTCCTTTGTCCAGGTCCTGCGCCTGGTCCAGCTGATTGTCCAGGCCCAGCAGCGGCTGAAGTCCCTTGACCCCTCCTCCTGGGACCCCTCTCTGGCCGGTCCACTTCCCTCCTCCTTCCTGTCCTGGCTGCACTTTAGGCCCTCAGACCCCAATGGTGCCTCCTCCTTCACTGCGGCCAATGATCTGGACGAAGTCGGTCATCTGGACGGGGGCCGTCGGACCGAGGAATACCTGGAGAAGGCCCTCGAGTCCCTCTGCCTCATTTTCCGGGTATGGACCACCACCGGCATCGCTCCCCCCCCCCTCCAAGATGCTTAAAATGGGCAGCTCAATTCAATTTTACCCTGTTCATTCATTACAACCAACAACTCATTAAATTCACTCTTTCCAGCTCAATGAGGCTCACCTGAGCCGGGTGATGCTGACCCTCGGGGCCGCGCCAGATGAAAGCGGGGCCAAGCAGCGCCCGGACTGTGCTGAAACTGATGCCGGACTCATCTTGACCCCTTTGGGGCGCTACCAGGTCAGGAGAGGCTTCCCTCTTCCCTTCTCCAGAGGGAAGGATGCCTATCTCTCTCTCTCTCTCTCTCTCTCTCTCTCTACTCCATTTATCTATCTAATCTTCCTATCTATCTATCTATCTATCTAAAATCTAATGCACAACCTCGTTTTGGCGAGACCGTTTCACCCAAAAAGGTGAGCATTAGATTCAAGTAAATGAGGTATATATGTCGTAGATTCAAAGACTTGTTTTCGCGTTCTCTTTTGAGATCATCAACGGCCTACGGAAGTTCGAGGTTGGTTACCGTGGCGACCCAGAGCTGCAGCCAATCAGGAGCTACGAAAATCCCACCCTGGTCCGGGCCCTCTTCCGCCTCGCCTCCGCCATCAATGAACGGGTGAGAAAACACTTCTATCATAGTATATTATATATAATACTAGCTTGATACCCGGAGATGCCCGGGTTATTTGAAAAGGGCATTGTTTGTTTTGGGGTGTTAGGTAATATCATTTAGTTAATTAGTAACACTATTAGGAAAAAGCCAGTCTTTGATTTCGTTGTTTATGAATGCTCCCATTAGAAAATACATAATGGATGTAGGAGAACTACAATTCCCAGAATCATGGATCAATCCTCCGCAAACCAGGCCTGTATGCACAGTTGGGCATGTTGGAACTGTGCCAAGTGTGGTCCGGACCTGTCGTCAGTTGGGTTGTGGGCTCTCGGGATGCAGGTGAACTACACCTCCCAAAATCAAGGTCATTTCCCCCAAACCCTGCAGTATGTTCAGTTGGCCATGGGGCTTATCTGTGCCAAGTTTGGTCCCGGTCCATTGTCGGTGGGGGCCACAGTTTCTCTGGATGCAGGTAAAGTACAACTCCCAGGTTCTGAGGGCAATGAACCCAAGCTCTGCCTGTATTCACAGTTGGGCATATTGGGTCTGTTTGCCAAGTTTGGTCAATCTGTTATTGAGGGGGTTCAGAGTGCTCTGGGTGCAGGGTGAACTACAACCCCCATATGGGTGGGTCGGTCCCCTCAGAAACATCTCCATTATATTCTGTTGGTCACCAGGTTTCTGTGTGCTATGTTTGGTTCATATCTGTCATTGCTGAGGTTCAGAGTGCTCTGGGTGCAGATTGAATTATGCAAATAGGTTGGTCCCCCACAAACACCTTGCAAAGGAGGCACCCAGTTTGTAACGGTTTGTAAACGTTTGTAAAGGAGCCACCACTTTGTAAGGACTAATTAAATTGATAACACAACTAATAGCTTGATTTGTTCTTTCTTCAATGTGTGGCGTGGCTTAACTTGAAAGTATTTGTAACAGAGACCTGGCTTTAGAAGAAACTGTAACAAGTTTATTGAAGTATAGAAGAAGCTTGATGGTTTCAATGTTTCTTAACTCTTAGAGGCACATTTCTTCAGTGGTTACATTTATAGCATTTCATAAAACAACTCTTGAGAGGACTGTTTCTTCCATTAAACAGGTTTTAAACTTATTTTACTTTAAAATGTGTTTCTTTCTTTAACAAATTACTTCAGGTACAAGCTTATTCTTTCCTTATGTTATTTCTGTTGCAGTATAGATTCTTATTAGGGTTCTCTCCCCCTTTTGCTCATACACTGACTAATAATATAAATAAGTGAACTTGACCTATCTAAACTACACAGGCTAAAAGCCAAAACCTTCCTGATTCTCAACACAGTAGAATCAGCCTTTCCCTGTGGTTCTTAGACTACAGACTACCTTACTGGTTCTCAACACACAACAGAACCAGCCTTCCCTGTAATTCGCTGACTACAGACTAACCGTTTTAAAATGGCTGCCCTGCCAAGAGGCAGTTGGCTCCGTCCCTTTTTCAATGGCAACCCAGCTCAAAGTGAGGCTATCATCCCTCCCCCCCCCCCAGTTATGCTAGTTTAAATACCCTTTTAAACACCTATCTATTATCATACATAACTGTAAATTAAAAGTCACACTTCACCACACACCTCAAGTACGTTCTGTTGGTCTCCAGGGTTCTGTGTGCCATGTTTGGTCCAGATCTGTCATTAGTGGGATTCAGATTGCTCTGGGTGCAGGGTGAACTACAACTCCCATGCAGGTGAGTCGGTCACCCACAAACACCTCTAGTATGTTCTGTTGGTCACTAGAGTTCTGTGTGTCATGTTTGGTCCTGATCCGTCATTGGTGGGGTCACAGTGGTCCCTGAAAGTGAGTGAAGGTACTGCAAGTCCCAAACATCTGTGGCAAGTTTGGTCCAGATCCATTGTTGTTTGGATTTACAGTGCTCTCTGGATGTAGGTGAACTACAACTCCTATAAATCAAGGTCAGTTCCCCCAAACCTCATCATGGGGGGTTCTGTGTGCCTGATGTGGTCCAGATCTGTTATTGAAGGGGGTCGTAGTTCTCTGCCTTTATGCAGGGTGAACTACAACTTCCACCCTGTTGAGTCAGGCCCCCAAACCCTTCCAGTCTATTTTTAACGTATATATTATATATATAATGTTTATTTTATACCATATATAGGTTAGGATATATATTCTAGCCGTTCCCTGCCACATGTTGCTGTGGCCTATAGTAAGAATTTTTGAAGTAGAGGTAGCTTTCTAGACCAAGGGTCCTCAAACTAAGGCCCAGGGGCCGGATGCAGCCCTCCAAGCTCATTTACCCGGCCCTCGCTCAGGGTCAACCTAAGTCTGAAATTATTTGAAAGCACAGAACAACAATCCTATCTCATCAGCCAAAAGCAGGCCCACACTTCCCATTGAAATACCAATAAGTTTATATTTGTCAAAATTGTTATTTATTTTAATTATTGTATTGTTTTAAAGTGTTTTTTGCATTACAAATAAGATATGTGCAGTGTGCATAGGAATTCATTCATGTTTTTTTCAAATTATAATCCGGCCCTCCAACAGTTTGAGGGCTGTGACCTGGCCCTCTGTTTAAAATGTTTGTGGACCCCTGATCTAGACTATTACAAAAGAGAGGTACCTACCTATTCCTTGCCCACTTTCTTTCCCTTCTGCTTTCTCTCCTTTCTTTCTCTTTTCCACCTCTTTCATTCCTTCCTTCGCTCTTTGGTTCCATCCTTCCTTCTCTCTTTCCTTCCTTCTTTCTCTCCCCCTTTCTCTCCTTCTCTCATTCTTCTCTTCTCTACTTCCTTTCCTCCCTGTTTCCTTCCGTCTTTCACTTTTTATTTTATTTTCTCCTTCCTTTCTTCTTTACCTTTTTTCTTGGCTTTCCTCCACTTTTTCTTTCTTTTCTGCTTTCTCTTCTTCCTTCCTTCAGTACCTCTTTCTTTCCTTTCTTCCTTCTCTCCTCCCTTCCCTCTTTCCCTCCCTCCATTTCTCTTTCCCCTCTTCCCCCTTTCCCTCCTTCATTCCTTCCCTCTTTCCCTCCCTCCTTTCTTCTCTCCTTCCTTCCTGTTTTCCCCATACCATGGTAGAGTCCCTTCCAACTCTATTCTATGAGTCTATTTAATATAGTAATATATAACAGTAATAGATGTGATATAATATATTATGTATTATATAGCAATATATAATAGTAATATATAAAGTACTCTCTCTCTCTCTCTGTGTGTGTGTGTGTGTGTGTATATATAAATGCTCTGTTCATTTTGAGTGACATCATAACTCAAAATCTGCTGGACGAATTGCTGCCAAATTTGGCCACAAGACACCTACGAACCCAAGAAGTGACCATCATTAAAAAAATGATTTTGTCATCTGGGACTTGTAGTTGCTGGGATTTATAGTTAACCTACAATCAAAGAGCATTCTGAACTCCACCAATGCTGTAATTGAACCAAACTTGGCACACAGAACTCCCATGACCAGAGGCGGCCCTAGGTAATTTTCAACGGTAAGCAAACAGTATTTTGGCGCTCCCCCCAACCAATCACTGATATATATATTCTGTTCGTCGTGGGAGTTCTGTGTGCTATATTTGGTTCAATTCCATCATTGGTGGAGTTCAGAATGCTCTTTGATTATAGGTGAACTGTACATCCCAGTAACTACAACTCGCATATATCAAGGTCTATTTTCCCCCAAGAGTGCCTCAAGAGTGCCCCTGGGCAAAATCAACTATACTGCGAATGCTTACTTTGCGTAATGGGTTGAGCCGCCCCTGCCCATGACCAACAAAAAACACTGGAAGCCCACTGCCTCTCACTTTATCCCTTACTACCCTTTCCTATGGCACACAGCAAACAGGAATTGATCAGCAACCAAACAAGAGGTTTGGGAAAAATTCACCATGATTTAGAGGAGTTGCAGTTCACCACCTACATCCAGAGAGAACTGTGGATCTGGACCACTCTTGCCACAGATGATGGGATTTGCAGTACCTTCACTCAGTTCCAGAGACCACTGAAGCTCCTACAAATGACAGGCCTGGACCAAACTTGCTACACAGACCCCCACCCCCATGACCCACTTTATGTCCTGGTGCAGTTTGGGGGAGGATGGACCACAGATGGTGGGATATGCAGTACCCTCACCCGATTCACCTCCCACTGCAACCCCCATGAATGATGGACCTGGACCAAACTTGGCACACAGACTCCCCACAACCAACTAAACATACTGCAGGGGTTTGGGGGAATGGACCTTTATGTTGGGAGTTGTAGTTCACCCTTTTCTAGAAAGCACTGAATCCAGCTAACGTCGAATCTGCACCAAACTTGACACACAGGCGGGGTTTGGGGGTGAATGGCCTTGGATCTGGGAGTCGTAGTTCACCATTATCCAGAGAGCCCTGAACCCAGATGACATCACATCTGGACCACACTTGACACACAGACCCAACATGGCCAACTTTGCATACAGGGCTGGTTTGGGGGTGATTGTCCTTGGCTCTGGAAGTTGTAGTTCACCCTTATCCAGAGATCATTGAACCCAGCCGACTATGGATCTGAAGCAAACCTGGCACACAACATGGCCAACTGTGCATACAGGCAGAGTTTGGGGGTTCATGACCTCTGATCTGGGAGTTGTAGTTCACCCTTATCCAGAGAGCACTGAATGCAGTCGACGTTGGATCTGGACCAAACCTGGCATACAGACCCAACATGGCCTGCTTTGAATACTGATGGGGTTTGTGGTGATTGGCCTACGGTTTTGGAAATTGCAGTTCACCCACATCCTTATGCATTTTTAATGGGAGCATTCTTACAAAACAACAGGAAAGACTGGCTTTTTTTCTAAGAAATAGATCTACAAATTACTAAATTGAAATTACCTAACACCCCAAAACAAACATTGCCTTTTTCAAATAACCTGGGCCAACATAACATCCTGGAGAGTTTTGGGGAGGAATGACCTATCCGCTCAGGAGTTGTAGTTCACCCTGCATCCAGAGATATTACCAAACTTCCCAAAACAAATAATGCCTTTCTCAAGTAACTCGGGGATTGCCGGGTCCCCAAGCTAGTATATTATAGTGATACTATATTTTATATTATATTATTTTAAATTAATTTAATTTATATTATATATACACATTTTCCCTCCCTCCCCCCCTCTCTCTATATAATCTTATTATATGGTGGTAGTGGTTGGAGTGTGGAGGGATGGGTTTGTTGTTTTGCGAAGTATGCTGGGAAAGAACATTTAATTCCATTGTACAATGTACATATTGTTTTTATATATTTTAGATTTTAGATCTTGTATTTATTTATATATTGTATCCTACTACGAGGTGGTGGTGTGGAGGAATGGGTGTGCATGTAGAATACAATAGAATATAGAGTATATATTGCATAATATCTAATGGTAAGATATATTATATTCTTATGACTATATGAAGATTTGATTTTATTTGGTGACATTGTGTTCCCTCCTTTCCCTGTTGTCCTTTCCTTGCTCAGTTCTCGGTTCAGATGATGTCGGCCTGCTCCCGGCAGGACTTTCTGGGCTCCTTCTCCCGCTTCCACCTGCTGGACCCTCAGGTGGGGCAGCGGCGGAAACAGAGCCCCGCCCAGGGCCCAGGCTGGGAGTGGGCTGAGCGACCCCGGCTCAGCCTGCGCTTCCTGGCCAGCTACCGCCTCCTGCTCGTCCTGGCCCTGTTCTACGTCCTGACTTCCTGGTTCTGCTTCGGCCCAGTGGCCACCTTCGGCATCTTCCTCCTGGCCTACCTCTTCTGTGCCTCCGCCATGGCCTGGCTCTCTGACAGGAGGAGGCCCCACCAGGAATGAGCGGGAGGGGAGGAGAGAAAGAAGGGGCCCTTTCTAAGGCAAACGGCCCCCAAAACTACCCTTTCTGAGGGACATCTCTCTAACACCAACATTTTTTAAGGGGACTCTCTCCAACAATGACCTCTTCTGAGGGAAACCCAATAAAGAATGACATTTTTTGAAGTAAAAACCACCAAGGACCTTTTCTGAGGGAAATACCTTTTTCTGAGAGGAATCTCTCCAAAAATGACTACTTCTGAGCGAAATATCTCAAAAAATGACCTTTTATGAGGTAAGCCTAATAAAAATGGCCTTTTTGAGGTAAAAATCACCAAGAAAGACCGTTTCAGAGTGAAATGTCTCCAAAAATGACCATTTCTGAGAGAAATATCTCCAAAAATGACCATGTCTGAGCGAAATATCTCCAAAAATGACCTTTGCTGGGGTAAACCCAATAAAGAATTACCTTTTTTAAAGGGGAAACCTAATTTTTTTACGAGAGAAATGTCTCCAAAATGACCATGTTTGAAGAAAAACCCACCTTTTTTTGGAGGAAACATCACCAAGAATGACCATTTCTGAGGGGAAATCAATCTCTTTTTGGTAAGAAAAACCAGGAATGACTTGTTTTGAGGGGAAATCAAAATCAAAATGACACTTTATGGAGGAATTATCAGCAAGAATGATCACTTCTGTGGGAAATATCTCTAGAAATAACAGTTTCTGAGGGAAATATAATCCAAAGTGACTTTTTTAGGGAAACCCAATTTTTTTTAAAGGAAACATCACCAAGAATGACCATTTATGTGGAAAAATCTCCAAAAATTACCATTTCTGAGGGAAATATCACCCAAAATGACATTTTCTGAGGTAAATGTCTCAAAAAAATGACAATTTTTTTGGCAAAACCCAACTTTCCTCAGGAAACGTCACCAAGAATAATATTTTTTGAGGGAAAAACCTACCAAATAACACGTTCTGAGGGGAAACTCATGGTTTTTTGGAAGGAAGCCTCACCAAGAATGACCATTTCTGAATGAAGTATCTCCAAAAATGATCATTGCTGAGGGAAATGTATCAAAAATGACCCCTTTTGAGGGAAAACCACCCAAAATAATGCTTTCTTGGTGAAAACCCCCCTTTTTCTAAAGAAAACAACACCAAGAATGACCATATTTGAAGAAGACATCATAAAATGAAAGTTTTGGAAGGAAGACCCACCTTTTAAAAAAAGGAAACAACAAGTGACCCTTTAAAAAAAATCACCAAAAATGACAGTTTTTGCAAAAGAACCTATCTTTTTGGAGGAAATGATCCCCAAAATGACCATTTCCAAGGGAAAATCCACAAAAAAATGACATTTTTTTTGGAGGAAATCCCAGTAAAAATGACTGTATTTTGACTGATTGTTCCTTAAAATCCAGTAAATGGTTCCTAGTGGCTCCCAATCATATTTTATGTTATTTTATTTTAATTGGGATTTGTAATATCTTTGGGTTTATATAAAATGCCTTTAATCAACAGATTTTTGTAAATAAACGCCTCTTTGTTTCTAAGGATAAATGTGTAAACAATGGTGCCATTTCCTTATTTTATATTCCTTTTACTGAAGCACACTTTGGCCGAAGGAGCTGGGTTATTTTCTTTAATTATTTCATTACATTGTTTTATTTGATTATTTGATTACATGTTAATATTTCATTTTACTCATGTACAGTGGGGAAAAAGTATTTAGTCAGATACCAATGAAATAGTGAAATAAATAGAATAATAAAATACATAAAATGATCATGTGAAATAAAATAAATGAAATAATAAATTAAAGCAAGACAGTGACAGAAAATAATGAAATAAATGCAGTGGCAGGGAGTATTTAGTCAGATACCAGTTGTACAAATTCTCCCACTTCAAAAGATGAGAGAGGCCTGTAATTGACATCATAGGTAGACCTCAACTATGAGAGACAACATGAGAAAACACATCCAGAAAATCACATTGTCTGATTTTTAGCGAATTTATTTGCAAATTATGGTGGAAAATAAGTATTTGGTCCATAACAATAGTTCATCTCAATACTTTGTTATATATCCTTTATAGGCAGTGACAGAGGTCAAACATTTTCTGTAAGTCCTCACAAGGTTGGCACACACTGTTGCTGGTCTGTTGGCCCATTCCTCCATGCAGATCTCAAGAGCAGTGACGTTTTGGGGCTGTTGCTGGGCAACACAGACTTTCAACTCCCTCCAAAGGTTTTCTATAGGATTGAGATCTGGAGACTGGCTAGGCCAAGAAATGCTTCTTACGAAGCCACACCTTCATTGCCGTGCTTGGGATCATTGTCATGCGGAAAGACCCAGCCACGTTTCATCTTCAGTGCCTTGCTGATGGAAGGAGGTTTGCACTCAAAATTCAGTCTTCCATGTATTCGGATCAGTCGCACTGGTCCCTTTGCAGAGAAACAGCCCCAAAGCATGATGTTGCCACCCCCCCCCCCCAATGCATCACAGTATGTGTGGTGTTCTTTGGATGCAACTCAGCATTCTTCCTCCTCCAAACATGACGAAGAGTTGTGTTTCTGCCAAAGAGTTCTACCATATGACATTCTCCCAATACTCAAATGCTCAAAAAGCTCAAAATGCACTCTAGCAAACTTTAGTTGGCCCTGGACATGTACTGGCTTAAGCAGGGGGACACTTCTGGCACTGCAGGATCTGAGTCCCTGGCGGCATAGTGTGTTACTGATGGTAACACACTATGCGACGTTGGTCCCAGCTCTCTTTAGGTCATTCACGAGGTTCCCCCGTGTGGTTCTGGGATTTTTGTTCACCATTCTTGTGATCATTTTGACCCCACGGGGTGAGATCTTGCGTGGAGCCCCAGATCGAGGGAGATTATCAGTGGTCTTGTATCTTCCATTTTCTAATTATTGCTCTCACAGTTGATTTCTTCACACCAAGCTGCTTGCCTATTACAGATTCAGTCTTCCCAGTCTGGTGCAGGGCGACAATTTTGTTTCTGGTGTCCTTCGGCAGCTCTTTGGCCTTCACCATAGTGGAGTTTGGAGTGTGACTGCTTGAGGTTGTGGACAGGTGTTCTTTTATACTGAGAACAAGTTCAAATAGGTGTCATTACTACAGGTAATGAGCGGAGGACAGAGGAGCCTCTTAAAGAAGTTGTTACAGGTCTGTGAGACCCAGAAATCTTTCTTGTTTGTAAGTGACCAAATACTTATTTTCCACCATAATTTGCAAATAAATTCATTAAAAATTCAAACAATGTGATTTTCTGGATGTGTTTTCTCATGTTGTCTCTCATAGTTGAGGTCTACCTATGATGTCAATTACAGGCCTCTCTCATCTTTTTAAGTGGGAGAACTTGCATGGTTGGTATCTGACTAAATACTCCCCCCCTCCCCACTGCATTTATTTCATTATTTTCTGTCACTGTCTTGCTTTAATTTATTATTTCATTTATTTCATTTCACATGATCATTTTATGTATTTTGTTATTCTATTTATTTCACTATTTTATGTTTATTTTGTTATTTTATTGCATTCTTTCATTTTATTATTTATTCAATTATTTCTTATACTTCATTCTGAAGGCTTAATTCCACAGCTTTTCTTTTTAAAAACCCTAATTAATGATAATAATTAATTCCACCGTTGTAAGAACCTACTTAATTAATTAGGCTTCTTCATTCCTTCCACTTTGGGTTTATTGAGATTAATGAAGTACATCTACATTTCATTGTATCTAGTGGGCCTTTAAGGGCCGTTTGGTTGTCATGGAAAGGGGAAGCTGGTTGTCATGGAAACCCGTCTCCATGGCGACGGAGTAGGCTTGGATGCAGCGCGAGGCCTAAAAGTGGCGGCGACGGGGGCCACAAAGGAAGCTGGTGTCGTCGTCTAACCTTCTTCGTGGCTGCTGTTTCCATGGCGACCGGAGAAGCCTATTCCATTCAGTCATGGCCGCAAATGAATCCTGTGTTGGAGGGGTTGCTGTGAGTTTTCCAGACTGTATGGCCATGTTCCAAAAACATTCTCTCTTGACGTTTCGCTTCTGGAACATAGCCATATAGCCCGGAAAATTCATATCAACCCAGTGATTTTGGTCATGAATTCAAGGTGCAAGTTCTTACGTACAAAGCCCTGAATGGTTTGGGACCTGGCTACCTGCGTTACCGCATTTCTGTGTACGAACCCACACAATCTCTTCGATCATCTGGAGAGGCCCTGCTCGTGCTCCCGCCTGCATCGCAAGCGCAACTGGCGGGGACGAGAGAGAGGGCCTTCTCTGTGGTGACTCTGGAACTCACTTCCCAAGGACATGAGGCATGCCCCATCTCTGGCAGTCTTTAGGAGGAGCTTGAAAACGTGGTTATTCCAGTGTGCCTTCCCAGAATAATGAACCCTTAGCACTATGTCCTCTAAAGCACCTTATACTGATTTAGGATTGTTTGTTATGTTCCCACCAACACCCCACCTCCCTATCTTGTTCATGTCCAACATTATTTTAAATTTTAATTACATTCGGCCCAGCCATAGATTTTAAATGTGTGTTGTGCTATTGTCAATGTTTATGCTATTTGTGTTGAGATTTATTTGAAACAAAGGACAAGCGACGACTAGAATTGCTGGATTTGACAATGTGGAATTGAATTTACGGACTCTGAGCTGGCAAACCTTGAGCACTAGATTGGTTTTATGGATTATGATGTATAATGGATTGTTTTAATTGTTTTAATTACTGTTTATATATGTTTTATTTTTAAGCCGCCCTGAGTCCCCCCTCGGGGGTTGCGAACGGCGGGGTAGAAGTGCGAGAAATAATAAATTGCTTTGTATCAGTGGTTCTCAACCTTCCTAATCCCGTGACCCCTTAATAGAGTCCCCCATGTTGTGGTGACCCCCAACCATAACATTGTTTTTGTTGCTACTTCATAACAGTCATTTTACTACTGTTATAAATCATAATGTAAATATCTGATATGCAGGATGTATTTTCATTCACTGGACCAGACTGGGCGCAAATACCCAATACACCCAAATGTGAATGCTAGTGGAGTTGGGGGAGGATTGATTTTGTAATTTGGGAGTTATAGTTGCTGGGATTTATAGTTCACCTACAATCAAAGAGCATTCTGAACTCCACTAACGATGGAATTGAATCAACTTTGGCATACAGAACTCCCATGACCAATGGAAAACACTGGAAGGGTTTGGTGGGCATTGACCTTGAGTTTGGGAGTTGTAGTTCACCTACATCCAGAGAGCACTGTGGACTCACACAGTGGATCTGGACCAAACTTGGCACGAATACTCAATATGCCCAAATGTGAACACTGGTGGAGTCTGGGGAAAATAGACCTTGACATTTGTGGATTGTAGTTGCTGGGATTTATAGTTCACCTACAATCAAAGAACATTCTGAACTCCACCTACGATAGAATTGGCTCAAACTTCCCACATGGAATCCCCATAACCATCAGAAAATACTGTGTCTTCTGATGGTCTTTGGCGACCCCTTTGACACCCCCTCACGACCCCCTCAGGGGTCCCGACCCCCAGGTTGAGAAACACTGCTTTGTATTGTTATTGTTTGTATTGATGTATTGTGGGCTCGGCATTATGTAAGCCGCACTGAGTCCCTTGGGGAGATGGTAGCGGGGTACAAATAAAGTATTATTATTATTATTATTATTATTATTATTATGAAAGCATTCGACAAGACATGAAAACCTACTTCGTGGCGAAACCGCACCGTTTCTATGGCGACTGGAGAAGCCTCTTCAATGGCGGCCGGAAAGGAAGCCGGCGTTGTCGTAAATCGTCGCTGAACCTTCTCCATGGCTGCCGTTTCCATGGCGACCGGACAAGCAGACCAGGAATAGGTTACGCAACAGCTAGGCTCCGTTTCCATGGCGACCGGACAAGCAGACCAGGAATAGGTTACGCAACGGCCAGGCTCCGTTTCCATGGCGACCGGAGAAGGCGACCAGGAATAGGTTACGCAACGGCTAGGCTCCGTTTCCATGGCGACCGGAGAAACTTATTCAGGAGCGAACTAGGCCGTAAAACAGCCCCGTGTTTCCATAGCATCCCAAGAAGGCTAGTAAGCCGCGAATTGAGACCTAGTAGGCCGCGAATTGAGGCCTAGTGGGCTGCGAGCGAAGCCTCCGCGTGGTAGTAGCCGGGAGGCGGGGAGGCATGAACCTGGGGTCGGGCTTCCCTGCTCTGAGCAAGCGGGGCTCCGTTATCGCCTCCGAGGAAGGAAGATGGCAGCGGATGGCGAACGACCTGGAGCGCAACCTCCATTTCCTGAAGCAGCAGCACCGAGAAACCCTCGCGCAACTCCACCTCGAGGTCGACTCCCTCAAGAGGAAGAACAAGGGTCTCTACAGGACTACTCTTCTCACCATCCTTTCTCATATATTCATTTCCTATCGCTATATTATCTTTATATTATTATTATTACTAACATTATGTAGTGCTCTCGTTACTGTTTGTTATTACTGTTATATATTATTCTTTGCTTCTTTATATTATATTGTTGTGTTATATATTAGTATTAT